TGGGGAGCAGCCAGCTGGCCACCAGGCCCTTGGCCTTTGGTGACCTAACAGAGACGGGCTTTGAAAATGAACTGAATCAGGCAGGAAAGTTGCTGTAACTCCTTCCGTGGGCCAGCCAGACCCTGAAAGAGATGGCACCACTGGTCTGAAGGGAGCCTGGGTCTGCAGACGGGCTGTGGGGCAGTGACTAGTTGGAAAGGGAGGAGATGCACAGTGTCTCCTGGCATAGCCAACCTGAGGCCCAAGTCTCCAAAGACAGACTTTGGTCCTCAGTGTCTAGACAGAGGGGAACCTAGGCCTGATATTCAGTTTCTGACCATCAGTAAATGCCTCAAGCTGTAACAGTAATGTCCATCGCTTCAGGAAATCTTGTGCCTCGTGTAGACTTAAGGGTCTAACATCATACCTCCAGTTATCTGAAAATTATAGCTTGGCTTTACAGCCAGCATGTGATAGCATCCATATGATGGGACTCCTCAACCAGGTCATGATGCTATCCCAGTCACTGTGGTATCAGTCGGACTACAGTGGAGTTGCTCTGGATTTATAAAGGTGTAGTGCAGAGAAGAATCTAGCCCCCAGCCAGACCTCTCTCCAGGTCCCCTTGAGAGTGTAAATTAAACAGAGCTAGAAATTCACCACTTTGACAGTAATTTATGAAGAGAGCAGTAAATGAAGGGGAAATTGCATCTTATTATTTTTAATCTCTTCCTCATTTTCTCTCTGACGTTCTCCTGTTTGCTTTTGAGCTTGTCCCCAGGGAGTTTGCATCTCCTCCTTTCCCCCCACCAAATGAATGACATTGTCATATCCGATCTGTGTTCCCACAGTAAAAATGCCTTTGCCTCCTTCTTCCCAAAGGGGAAAGAGGGGAGATAATAGGGTCTTACAAGTAAAGCACCTGGGTTCCCGTGAACTTGCTAGCCAAGGGAGGGAGGTGTTGTGCCCAGTGGTTAGCACAGGAATGGGTTGGGAGCCCAGACTCTTGGTTTCTAGGAGTTCTCAGAGACCATCTGGGTCTAGTGATCAGAGCTGTGCAGGAGAGAGTGCTTGAGTGCGTTAATCCATCATAGGTGACTGTAAGATGCTCAGTGACAGAGCCTTGAAGAAAGATGGATGTATTAGGATGCACTGAATGGAGTAACTCAAGTGCAGTACATGAGCATGCACTAGCTGGGAGGGCCTCACAGGGAATTGCGTGCAGCTTGGAAAAGAGTGCTGAGAAGGTACCTGGGAGTTTGTGCAATAGGGAGGCAGTTTCTTAAGGGGAAGAGATCACCTCTTCACCTCAGCAAAACGCACATGAAGAAGAGATAGGCATGGTCCCTAGAAGAGTACCAGGAGGTGAACACCAGAGAGATGAGTTGCTTAAGGCAAAGCACAAGGTCGGCCACAGATCTAGCCACGCTGGGAACGTGGTGAATGTCTCCCATCAACAGAGCGGTGAGAGCCTGGAGCAGCCTTGCAGGAGGGACAATAGGGGCTGGAAGCCTAACTGGACATGAGGTGGAACACCATCGCTTTCTAAACAGGGTTTGCCTGATGTGACTTCCTGGGGTAGCAAGGCCACTCAATGGCTTAGGAAGTGCCTTTCAGGCTGGTGTGGCTGGGGACTTCATTCCAAGTTCTTACAGGACATTGAATCATTTAATGTGTGCCTCAGTTGGCCCATTGTGGCCGTGTGTCACATCTATATGTCATATATGGCACAGAGTGCTGGGAAGGCACTTGCCTGCAAGCCATGCATGGCCCTCAGCAGGGCCAAGCGCTTGTCTTCCTCCTTGCTGCTGTGACTGCTAATGCTGGTGTCTGCCTGTTTCAGGGGCAACTTCTTATCCACTTCTCTGAGAGAGCTTGACGACCATCTGTGGGACAAACGAAGAGCAGAAATGAGCACTGGTCGCTGTCCAGTGACCAGGCACAGAGCGTGGAGGCCAGGCCTTTGGGTGCTGCGCGTGCCCCTGATGCCAGCTGCACTGCTTCTCCTCCTTGGCCCGTCTGGTGAGCTATCTCTTTGTCTGGTAGGAGGGGGGATGAATTTTAGGCACTGGAGGTCTTCCATCTAGCCTTGCCATTGGCCTTCTGAGTAACATTTTCTCGATGTAGAGGCATATGCAGGGATGCCATGTTGTCTCCAGTGGCATTAAGTGTGAGCAGTGAAAGAGGGAGCAAGTTCAGCTCTTATCTCCCACCATGAATGATGTGTGGTGGCAAGGACCACATTCAGGGCTGGCTGGTAACTGGTGCAGGCAGCTACTGGTGATGGAAGTGGTGCAGATGTGGGCCTCGGAGCAGGCAGTCCCCCTGGGCCGTTTGTGCTCCCAGTTCACAAGAAGGCACGTACAGCCAAGGGACAGGAGCTGCTGAAACCCGTTTATGCAGAGGCGATGGGCAGGATGAGTACATGTCTCCTGAGAAAACGAGCTAGGCTTGGTATCCTAAATTGTTCCTGGTGGGTGCTCTCAGACAAGAGTACTGGTGACTTTCAGTCTTGTTTATGCTGATTGGAAAGCTTTTAAGTTAAACTGGAAAAAGCTATTCCTATTCTAGACTGAAAGGGTCCATACGAGAGCTGTGTTAGTGTAATTATGCTGGTTTGACTTTATCAGTGTAATTATAGTGATGCAGTTGGTAAAACCTTTCCGCCTCAACAAAGCTACGACAAGACAAAGCAAGCTCGAAGCCAGGCAATTAAGGTGTAGTTAGACACTATAATTGGATTAAATCAGTTTAAAAAGTTCCCACCCCCTCAGCTGGTGCTTCCCATCCCCGGAGCTCCTCTTCTGGTGGCAGTGCCTGCTCCCTGAGCCGAGACGCAGGGACTCCCCGCGGGAGCCCGTTTCTGCGCAGAATTAGAGCAGGTTCATCTCAGCCTCCACGAGGGGGGCGAAGGCAGCTCCTTGCAGGCTGCTTAGGCTCAGCTGCCAGAGCATCTGACCGCAGCCCTGGCAGCACTGCGCTGCCCGGAGAGGCTGCGCACGCAGCTGCCGGAGGCCTTCTGTGAACGGGCTCTCCACGAGGTCCTTTCAGCTCAGACCTGGTTCTCGCTGAAGGTTTTCAGCAGTGCGGAGCTGAGCACGGCTCCTCTCCGACATGCTGGCGGGCCGGTGCCGGACCAGCTCTGTGCCGCTGCCCTGTCACCAAGAGGCAAGGCCATCTTCTGTGCTTGCATAGAAACCCTCTGAGCCCTTTGCAAATGAGCTTTCTGCTTTGTTTCACGCCTGCAGCAGCCTCTGATCTGAAATGTGTGTGTTAAGCCTTCAGCTAAGGGTGGCGTTGATGGCAGCAAACCATGTTTCTCCTTCATGGTCTTGGGAAGGGGCCATTGTCTGTGCTTCAGCTGAGGCTGTACCTTCTCCCCCAGCGTGCTGGTGCTGCACGCAGTGAGGATAAGGCCAGCCACCTCCTCCCCACCGGAGCGTTTGCTACAGGACTTTGTAACTCTAAACCCCCCGTAGGCAGGAACCAAGCGCTCTGGACTCTCATGTTTCTTTTCATGAATGGGCTCAGCTAAGTCGATAATGAAGGGCGATTTGTCCTCCCGTTTGGTAGGTTTATTTATAAACGCACCCTGAAAGGGACTGTGTTTACTTTGAGCTAGTTCCTTTTTTTTTTGCTTTGTGAAGATGGATCAGAGAAACCTGGGAGGCTTCATCTATTCTGTATCTATTCTGCAAAAATACCATTTTCATGTCTCCTCATTAACGTAGACATACCAGGAATGTTTCTTCTGGTCTCTCTTGACTTTGCTGGAGGATGCTCCTAAATGAGTATTTCAAAGCTTTGACTGACCGAAGAGGCACAGATATTGAATATTTAACAATGCCCTTTTCATCCACTGCTTTTTAGGCACTGGAGTGGAATAGGTGTTAAAAAACAATGCAAACAGAATCAAACATTCTTCCTAAAAACCTTCCATTCCCACGTTTTTGGTGCAGTGGTGATCTGCAGCTGAATTATGACTCTCCGAGGAGTCCAGTCCAAATGGGAGCAGGTTCTCAGCATGGAAGAAGCGGCTCATACTGCCGGGTCCTTCCCCATCCTCTCGTTCAGCGAGTTGGCCCCTCCGTGCGTTTCCTTGGTTTCACCTGTTCCCCCCCTCCAACTCGTGGGAGCAGAGCGGGTGTCTCTCAGAGCTCCAGAGATTCATGCTGGGACAGTTTAAGACGACCCTCTCCCAGTTGCGTACCCTGTCTTTGAGTTAGGTGCTACCCTCTGTGGCCGAAGCAGATGTTTTGGCAGGTGTCAGTCACTGGTCACACAGCCCAGCGTGGAGTTCAGTTCTCGCTCATGTAGCAGGCTGAACGCTGCAGCAGCTGGCTGAGTCACCAGCCTGCTTGCGATTTGCTGGGGTGGCTGGAAAGATCAGCAGTGTTTGACCATAGCTGGTGCTGCTCAGCTGCTGCGGTTAATCCAGGCAGGACGGGGAGCTGTGGGAATGGATGGCATCTCAATCCTAGACCAAGCTTCTGGTTGCTTAGTGATAATTACAGTGACACAGTTGTTTTACTGTCATTTCTCATGGGGCCTCTAGGTCTTTCCTTGACAGCCCTTTTTTTGTAGCTGACTTAACGCGCTGCCAGGCCACATCCTAACAAGGCAAAAGGGACAGTGAGTTCACGTGTTTGACCTTCCCCTTCAGGTTCATGTTATGTTGCTTCTGGTGGCTGTGATATCCGCCTCCTGAGTGACAGGAACTGACCTTTACGTTGTTGCTCCAGGGAGAAAAGACAGAGCTGGAACAAGCAGGACAGGGCTGGTTCAAGCCAGGTGTAAGAAGAGAGGCCACAGAGTCAACAAGGGTATATTGATTGGCCCCAGGTTGCTATAATTAACTTGGGGGGATTTAATTTGTTTGGAACATGTAGCCTAGAGGGAAGGGCTTTGGAGTTGATGTTTGCAGCCAGAGGCTTTCCAGACGTGCCGTTAGATGTGTGCTTTCGTTCCTGCAAGCCCGGCTGCAGCGTCTGCTGACCGCTTGCTGAGAGGAGCCTGCCAGAGGAATTGGCCGTGCAGGGGACTAGGCTTGGTGGTTGCAAACTGGTGGGGCACGTGTGCAGGTGGGAGCCTCAGGCCCACCAAACGTGGGGCTGACCACAAGGTGTGGAGGGGCCCGGGCCAACGCGCCGTGTGCCAGGTCCCGCCGCCCAGGACTGTACAGAGGAAAGGCAGGGTTGTGGCAACTGAGCCATGCTCTGGGCTAGTCAGAGACCGAAACTTGGGTCCCGGTTTGTGTTTAGCCATTGATTTGCTCATGGTGGGGGTGGAAAGGGAATCCATGGTTTGCTCATGCCAGGCTGAACTTGGCAGGAGCAGGATGGCGGGGGGGGGGGGGGGAAACACTCGTCACGG